CTCTCCTAAATCCATGCTGGCTATCCCTCAAAATGTTATTTGAGTCCAGGTAATCTAGCATTTTCTCTTTGAGAAATCCATGCATCTCATTGTGAATCCATGCATTACTGAGGCCAAGAGCGTGAGGGCAAAACATAGACCTAACAAAGACTGCAGTCCTATAGCAAACAAAATCACATCATCATATGGATCAGTTGTTTTTTTTTAAAGTTATATGTAGTTGTGTTATTAAAGTGTTATTCTTATTTTAAATGATGAATTCTTTATTATTTAAAAATAATAAAGAATCCATGCATTCCATACTTTCATGATGTGACTGGCATGTGTGCTGTATTAAATATATGTCTCTGCTATAAATGGATGGACTGGGCACATAGACTGGTGTAAATGTGGCTCCTTGTTTTACTGCACAGGTGGTGATTAATTGTCTAATCACAAAAGGGCTGAAGTACAATCAGGCCACCCCTAACTTCCATCAGTGGAGGGATGCACGGCAGGTGTGGGGGCTCAACTTCAGCAGCAAGGATGATGCGTCAAATTTCGCCAGTGGTATGACGCATGCGCTGGACGTGCTGAGCTCCCTGCCTGATGCAGGTAATGCAGTGTGAAGCCTCGTCCTCACAGCAGCACTTAACCATATATTGTCCGAAGCCTATTGCTGTGGCCTGACCACATCATGCTGATACTTGGAATGACTATCCCGCAGAATGTATGCATAATCACATTATAAGGGGAACCGTTAATTATTGGAATTTTTCATTTATTATTATTATATTTTCTTCCCTGGGAGTCTGTACCCCCTTGGTAGATTTTTATTAAATTTGCCGCTTGATCGAGGTCAGTATAAAGTATTCAGACATCAAATTTGGGGTCAATCCATCTATTTCTTTAGCACCAACTGGTCAAATTTCAAGGTACATTTGTGTTCTCGAGAGACCTGGTCTGGACCCAGTTGATCTAAACAACTATCAGCCAATCTCTAACACACCACTCTCCTCTAAAATACTAAATCATTTAGCGTCAAAAAAACTTTAGCAACCTTTCCAATCAGACACATTTTTTCCAAAACCATTTGTCTGTTACAACCTATCAAATCTGTCAGTGAAGCCACCAAGCAAAATGTTTGCCCATTTCTTGGTCAGACTTTAGTCAATCGACGTGACATGTGCTGTGAGTGCATATAACCAAACCTGTGACAAAATGAGATTATGATGTTTCCATGGCAACTAAGCCCTGACTCTGTACTGGGCCCCATTATTGCTACTTGCAGCTATATTTATGATGTTATTATTTTATAACTAACCTAGTGTTGTCTTCCTCTAGCTCCAGGTTACTCCACTCTCCCCCGACCAGCTCAGAATGGACCCTCTCCAGAGGAACTGGAGCAGCTGAGAAGGTACCAAATGCACGATGATGAGGGAGGGAGTGGACTTATGTGAAGTTGCGCCCCCCCCCCCCCCATATATTTCAGATTTTATCTGTGATGTTTTCCACAAAGCAGGATTTCCCAGTTAGCTGGATAACTTAAGACAAACAAGAAAACTATCCAATAGAAGTAGAAGTAAGTGACATTCCCATTGGACTGTCCTTACATTTGGCTATTAAAGAAATCTTGCTTTGTGGAATACCCACCGGTCGCAATTGTTTGTGCCACATTTGTCTGTGAAATTTTAATTTGTGCTGCTTTAATTCTGAGATATAAATGTTTTTTAACATGGTGATGTCGTCACTTTGAAGTTGGCCCCCCATATGCGCCCAGTTTTGACCAAACTGGTCTGTGCCGTGTTGTTTTATTGATTAATACCATTTATTTAGTTCCACAGCTACATGTTTGCTTAACCAGTATGATTTTAACAATTGTTACCTTGATAAATTGGTATTAGGGATTTTGCTGTAACTATATGGATTTAATTGCAGACCTAATATTATTACTTGTAATCCAGATATATCTTTTTCAAAACATTTCTAAAAGTATTTGATTAATGTTTGCTGCCCCTATTGAATATACATAAAAAATCTAATAAAATATGCTGGTTAAACTATAATAAAACATGTCAGACATACTACTGTATCAAGGGAAATGTAAATAATTGTTTTTAATAATTAACAAAAACAAAGTTAAAAACTTTTTTAAATATATGTAGATTATATATGGTAATAAAACATGCCACTGTGTAGCTAAATTGACATGTTATTAGGTTATGTTTGTGAAACAGTTCTTATTGAGCTAAATATATGGTTATATATTAATTGAAAGCTAAATGTTAATGATTTTTTACGTGAAAGCTTGCAGCAGCAGTAACGGTGAACTTGAAACTAAGGGGGTAATTTGAAACATCGTTGGCCAAACAGCTGAGTGACACGCTGCAGGAGGGTGGAATTTGGACGGGGACACAGTGGTGATGTCACCATGTAAGCAAACATTTATGTCCCAGAAAATAAAGCAGCACACACGAAAATTGCAGCGGCACAAATTATTTGAGATCAGTTTGGTCAAAATCAGATGCACCTAATAATAATAATAATAATATTCATACTTTACTGATCCCCGTATGGGAAATTCTCTTTTTGCCTACCCCACATTGCTCTCTGTGACAGACAGGCATTTGTACATGACTTGCCAGCGAAGGGCAGCCACCTGTAATGGCACCCATGGAGCTGGGGCGGTTAAGGGCCTTGCTCAAGGGCCCACAGACATGGCTATTCTGTCACTACTGGGCTCAATCCAGTGACTTTCCAATCAGAGGCACAGGTTTAGCCCGCTGAGCCAACTGCATGGCTATATCACATGATCATGAAAACAAACATTTATATCTCAAACCAAAGCATCACAAATGAAAATTTCAACAGCACAAATTGACGCAAACAGCACAAACGACTAAAACTGCATTGGTTCAAATCGGATGCAAAATGAGGGGGCCAACGTCACAGTGGTGACGTCACATAAGTAAATAGACATGTCTCAAACTAAAGCAGCACGAACAAAAATTTCAATGGCACAAACAAATGCAGGACAGATGATTGAGACTAGTTTGGTTAAAATCTAAATCATATGGGGGGGGCAACGGAGGTTGGGAGTGGTGCTTTGGGTTGTGGTGCGACTGTGCTGCTGTTATCAGTCCTAATCCAGCAAGAAGGTGAGTGAAGGGCTGTGTGGGTGAGCTGTGTCTCCTGGGAAAGCATCTCAGATGTTCTGAGGACTAAGGAGCAGATTTGGAAATTTTAGCCTGGAAGAATGCCTGTGCATCAGTCGCCCATGCTGCATGAAGAGACCAGCAGCCAGTTTCTGCTTTAAAGCCCCCAGCCTCCCTGCCTCGGGCACAGTCTGCCTTGCATAGCTGATGCTTTGTCGAAGGTCCATTCCTACAGCCCAGCAACTGTGCAAGCAGGATGCACTTATAGATGCTCAGTAGGCGGCAAAAGATCATAGAGCTACAGGGTCTGGGGGTTCGCCTGCTTCCTCAGTTCCCCCAAAAGGAGACAGGGGTGGGTAAACAGAAGTTTGGTTGTTTCCCAGGCAGGAGCAGCAGGAGCGAGAACGACAGGAGTGGGAACGACAAGAACGGGAGCGGGAGCAGCGGGAGCGGCAGGAGCGGGAGCGGCAGGAGTGGGAGCGGCAGGAGCGGGAGAGGCAGGCTGCAGCAGGTAAGATACAGAGGGAGCCAGTCTGTCACAGGGGCTCCTACTGTATCCCTCAATGTAGGCTTAATAAGATCGGTAGTATGATATCCACATCGGGATTCCATATTGCCTCAATGGGAGAGGTCAGCACTTTGTGGTTGCAAATCACTTCGCTTTGTACATAGCATCTTCACTTTTGCGTCATACTGATCCTCCCCCCCTCATCTTTCAGTAATTATTCCACCTGCACCTCCAATGCCAGCAGTTGGCGGCCCCCCACCCCCTCCCGGTCCCCCGCCACCACCTGGGCCCCCACCTCCTCCGGGACCACCACCTCCAAGTAGTGCAGGTCCACCACCTCCTCCGAGTGGTGCAGGTCCACCACCTCCTCCGAGTGGTGCAGGTCCGCCACCTGCTCCTCCGCTGCCCATGTCCTCAGGAGGTGATGGAGGAGGAGATGGAGGGGGTGGAAGCGGAGGAGGAGGCCTGGCTGCGGCCCTCGCTGGTGCCAAACTGCGTAAAGTTGCCAAGGTGAGAAATCGAGGCGAATGAGGTCGGGAATAATAGAGGCCATTTTACATTTAATTCTGGAAAGCTCAGCATAGTTGAATACATGGCATTACAGTCTCCATATTCTTCTGTTGCTCCCACAGCCGGAGGACAGTGGCCCAGGACCCACAGCAGCGCCAGCGCCGCCCCCTAAGACTGACGCAAGCCGCAGTAGTGCCTCCCTGCCAGGAGGGGGCGGCGGAGGAGGAGGAGGCCTGATGGGAGAAATGAGCGCCATCCTTGCACGACGGTCAGTAGCTCCCCACCCACCCCCACCCTGTATGCTCATGCATGTCATGTACCTTCCCTGTTTGCCATAACTATACCCACCCCCCCCAGGAGAAAAGCTGCAGATAAAGGAGAAAAGCCCCCCGAAAAGGTTCCCATCAAACCGGAGGAGCCGAGTACTGTGAGTAACCATGAGACCATGTTCATCAATTAATAGGCAGCTGGTAGCCGGGTAAGGAGAATGGTTAAAATCCATAACTGGAACCTGTCTTCCCTTGCAGGACGACACTGAGTCTCCAGGTATGGATGTAGTCAGTGCTCCAAAGTGGTAGGTAGAGGCAGAGATCAGTGTGGGAGGCCTAGCAGGCTCCTCCTTGGAATTGCAGACCCTACCCATACACCCATTGCCATGCTTCCATAAGCTCCTATCACCCATCTACCATCCACGCCCTGAAGCTGCTGCTCTGCCCCACCGGTCATGTGCGTCACCCTGGTGTCAACATTCCTCTCCTCTGTATAAGTGCTGTGGAGCAGTTCGGTGGATCGCCATTGTATCTTGTCGTCCATCATAGACCCCCATCCCCCCTGCCACTGCTAATTGCTGCCCAATTTCAAAATCACTTTGCTGTGATTTGTTGTTGAAACAAAAACATCTTTTTTTTTTTGTCGTCAGGTGATGCACTTAGGAGACCGTGGGAGAAGTCAGCCACCATGCCGAGGTAAGTGAGAGCAGAGAGTCTTTAACCCTCAGAACCTGACAAACGCAAAATGGGTTCATTTTGACACTCTCAGGCTCCACAAAAGAAATATCAAAACATAGCATTCTATTTATTATGAAAAGAATGACTAGATATTTTCGTAATATTTATTCACACTAGTTTTGTATATGTATGTTTGATGTCGAACTCAAAATAGTTGAAATAGATGGTGCCCATCGTGTAACTGAAACACATTCTGCACGTAAACACGGTGACGAGCTACAGCGTTGGTTTGTTGTTTGAGGCTAAAATGCTGACTAAATGTTTCATTCCCAAATTTCACCTTACCAGTTATAGCATATATAGGCAGAAAGGGGACAGTGATAAACATTCAGCATTGGACTCTAAAACTCTGTGTCTGTGTTTATCCAGTGGATCATAAACAATGCTTTTCTATTTCAGTTTCTTTCAGATGTTATAAAGTAATATAATATAAAACCATGCATCCATCACATAACCTCAACAAGTTACAAAATGGATGCATCATAGAGATTCCAATCTCAATATTTAGACGGTTATATTTGTCATGCCTACAAATTTTATATTAGATGAGACTAAAAATGGAGAAATTTCAATAGGCACAAGTAGTTTTTCCTCATAAAAAGGATATCAGGACTGTGTCAGCATTTACACATCAAATTATGACATATCAGAACAGCACAAAATCCCCGAAAAAAAGACATACAGCGTATATTGCTAACTCATGTACATACCATGTAATAAGCCTAAAATCAAAGGGATAGAATAACTCTGGATAGGGTTTTAATGGTTAAGAAGCCTCCATTATTGCCAGTAATGTCGTCTTGTGTTACTGGTTTCTCAAACAGGAACAACTCTGTCTCCAGGGGCATGGATACCATTGCCTCAGTTCCCTCCCCAGGCCAGTTTCCCAGGTATGGGGGAGGGGCAGGTGCCTGGTGATAATATATAATACTGATGGTAGAGTTGTACCTACCCCTTGTACCTCTGGTGGGAACTGTACAATTTCTGGACTTTAGAAGATGTTTTCATTTTATTTTTGTCTAGAATTCTCAGAGCAAACAGCAGAGATTTTAACAACTAGATATAAGGACTTGAGAATTTTGTTTGTGGTTGCCACAACATGCTTGACACCTACCTGGCCGTCCAAGTGCTCTGGGAGCCCCAGGCATCGTTATGGTAACACACAGTCACATGGGTGGCCCAGCAACAGAACGCTGTCAGTCTTACACCTGTACACAAGAATTTTTAATCACGACCTAATCTCCCAATTTTCCTCTGGCTCGGCCTCTCTTCCCTTCACAGGACGAAGCCGGTGAGTAGCAGTAATGATGCAGCGGGCGGTGACGAATCGGATTTGGACAGACTAAAACAGGTTAGAATGGTTGTCCCTTTATCATACCATTGAAAACAATATACAGACACTCCTCTACTTACGAACTTTCAGCTTACGAACTTTCAGACATACGAACGAAGAGGACTGTAAGTCCAATTTGTAATCATTAGGCTCCCGTTTCCTGTCCGCAACATCAATTTTTTTTCCGCGCACCAATTCCGCCTAGCACGACTTCTGCCCGCTACTCCCGCCGTCCAGCAGCGTAGCGTGCGGACTCCCAGCATCCTAGTTCTTTGTACTTGTGTATGCCCTTAAAATGATGTTGAATAACGACTTAAACATTTAAAGGTACGAATGGCCGTTCAGAACGTAACTTGCTCGTAAGTAGAGGAGCGTCTGTACATTGGGCAGGATAATTGCATTTTAGCCTGTTTGAAATTTGGTTGCTAACTTTTAATAAGTGCTGCAAGAAATATCTGAGAGATTCAAAAAATTCTAATATAAAAAATACTCAAGGAGAAAAATGCACATTCAAATAACTGGTTAATAACTAAAATTCAAGTGCAATTCAAATTCTGATCACAGTGAAATATTTGAAATACTGTATCGAATTTAAAACTGTTCAATTCTATCATTATGCAAATTTCAGTATATGAAAATGTGCTGTAGATCTCCATTGAACACATCAAAAAGCACTTTTAAGAAGTTGCACCACATAAAGGACGTGCAAATCTGAGCTTTGGGGAGAGACGCGTTCGCAATCACATGTCTTGTGCGAGGAAGTTTAAATGGAAGATGGAAATTACTGATGCCAGTTGCCTGCCACTAGTGGATAAGCAGGGTGCCAGAAGTGAGATATGGCATTATTTTGGTTTTAAACCGAAGACCTGACAGCTCTTGAATGCAAACACTGCTAGAGGGGGCAACACATCTAACCTGGTGAAGCATCGGCCTCTTCTCATGATTCATATAAGGAGTTTAAAGATCATCAGGTGGGGCTTTTTATTTCAGAGCAATACAATATTCAAATGGGAATGTTTGAAAGTTTTAAATTAATATATATTTGGTATTGATACCGATTAGGTATTGGTATCAGTCGTAATTTTATCAGTGATCCAACTGTGCCACACCCTTGCACCAGTACAACTCTTCTCCAAAGTAAAACGCATAATGCACAAGTAAGTAAACAAAAAAGATGGTGTGTACAAATCAAGACCTTTCCCAGAACTGCTTGAGAGCATCCAAAAAGCTGAGGTTTGGGAACATCGTCAGCAGCAGTAACGTTGTACAATGACGGAACAGTCAGGAAAATTCAGCAAAATATTTCAATATGAAAACATTCAATAGTTGCAGCCTTTTAATTAAGTCTACTTCTAATGTTTTTGCTGTCTCGTACACACTCAGGGGTTCACTGTTTTGTTGCATGGCTGCTATATGGAATTTTGTAATCAGCTGACATGTCCAATATTTATTTTCCTTGTGCAGGAACTTCTGGAGGAGATGCGCAAGGAACTGCAGAAAGTGAAAGAGGAGATCATTAGAGGTGAGCCTCTCTCCGGTTCCCCGTTCCTGGCACTGATATTGACTAACTTAGCAGCGCTGTGTGCTTCTTCAGGTTGAGATTCTAAATATGAGCTCTGATGCCATTCGAGCAGCAGTGACTCACGGAAACTTGCTTTCTCTACCCACAGCATTTGTTCAGGAGCTGCAGAAGAGAGGCTCAACATAATCCCGTGGGCAGTTTGGGGGGGTGGACCTTTGTCCCACCTGGGATAATGTTTTCTATTCCTTTCCCTCATTTTTTTTGTTCCCCTTTCTCTCAAGCACAAGTTAATGCAAACGGGGTAACCTCGACTTGGACATGCCAAAAGACTGTTTGCCTCGTCATTTGCTCACACTTTTTCTCTTTCCTTCTGTTTTTTTTTCTTCCCACAACAGCACATTTTCTCACGAACAGAGCTCTCCTGTGTAATTTGTATTTTTTCAGATCTTAATTCCCATTAATATAAGGGTCCACAGAATATGAAAAGTTATATATGATTTGTCATTGTGTACCGAATGACTGTGCAGCAACAACTTTATGCCTGTAAATCAAGAGGGACTGTGGTTGGTTCTGGTACTGTGGGGTCAGGCCACAGGGGAATCTTCAGGTAGACCACTGTGGACTCGGCAAGACCAAGATGTAGGACTGATCGCTGATGCCACCGTCTCAGGGATAAGCAGAATTGCATTAGCACAAAGATTTCATACATTACACCCGATCCCACAGTTGGGCATGGTGATCACTATAGAATCCTCATAGCGATGATGATGATGGGAAAGAGCTACAGATACTAAAACTGGGACTTGAGAAAAGTGGGGAAAGAGGGTGGAGTGGCTGGAACCTAAGAGGATGGTGCACTTGTGGACTCGTCTGTGGCCTGGTCTGATGCCTCCTGTGTATCAGAGGGAACCTGCTTTGAGGTGTACTGTGTGCTCAGGGTCCCGCACTAGCAATAGCATTAGCACAACCTCAGTCAAGACAGCAACCGTCTGTTCTGCTTCCCTCTGCTCTATATGCAACACAGTTCACGATTTCATACTGTAGTTTAGCGGTAAGACTTTTTAAAGAAAGTCTTAATTGCCTTGAAGATGTCTAAATATATGTAACTTTTTGAGGGAATTTAAAACGTAATTGTTTTAGCTAAGACTACTGGTGATGGGTGAATGTTTTTTTTTTTTTCCTTTTTAAAAATGAATATTTTGACCTTAATTTAATTTCTTTTTTCTATTAGAATATAGCCTTTTTACACTGAAATATGATAGTATAAAGACACTGGACTAAACATGGACTTGTAGTCAAATACAACTGCTTATTGTACTGCGTCTGCCTCCTAGCATTCCTTTACACTATGTGCGTAAAAGTGATTCGTAGGGAACTCAAGGGGTAGCAACATGCTCACTAAGATGAGTAAATGGGGTAACAGACTGTATCGTAACATCTAAAGATACAGAATGTGACAATAAATGAATTACTAGTAAGTTAACATAATGGAAATTTGTATTTAAAGACACACTGTTTTTTTTTTTTTTTGTAATGTTTTGCCCATATGCACGTTTTTTTTTCCATTCAAAAAAACATGTCATTATGTTAATTTTCTAAAATTCCCAGTGAGACTGTGAGGGCTGTGATGGACTGTCATCTAGCCTAGGATGTGCCCTGCCATGTACCCTCCGATTCCTGAGATTGATTCCAAAGTTCAAGCTTGTATGTCATATTATTGTCAGTATGCTTCCTCATCTACAGAGGTAAGTATATATCTCAAGGGAACAAAAAAAGTACTCTTTAGAGTTGGATTTGAATATAGTGGGGAGATAACTCATTACAATGTTTTACATTAAGAGAACCAATCAGTGTTGTGCCCCCGCGGTACTTAATTTATAATGTGATGTATAAACGTACCTTCGCACATAAATGCCTTCTGCATATTACACTCTTTGACGTTTGTTTAGGCTAATTCTGCGTTGGTGGTATATAAAAAAAAAAAAATTAAAGGTGAAATAATGGCTTAACCTTTGACAGCTCTAGTTATTTGATTTATCATTTTCGACGTGCCATTGTAACAGATCAGGTACGTACACAATGCTTGCAGCACGTATCACGAAAAACTGTCGCTATAGAAACGACAAGGATTACGGGAACAATAGGGTTGGGGCAAAATACTTAAATGCTTCGTAATTAAAACACACAGCCAGGAACCTGATAAATATGATACGTAAATCTTGAAAAAAATACATTAAGTTTGCAGATGAAAAAAAGTTGCTACTTGTAAATTTTAGGTGGGGGAAGGATGATCTTATGTCCTATGGCGCTCACCGCTTGGTATTTGTAACCAGGACGTTTAGAGATGCTTTGGGTGTTAAGTGTTTTTTAATTATAAAAGTTAAATGCGGAATAACAGCATACCAAACACCAGCAGGATAACACACGGGGTAAACTAAGGCAGTACCTGGCTGTTTCAGGGGTGTATTCCTAAGCGAGTGTTTAGCTGGGTGTTTTCACCCGTTTATTTCCTTGCGGACAGAATAGCACTATACTGTAATTGTTCCTTAATATATCAATCGCATTGTTGAATATTCGCTCGTCCAAAACACGCCTTATAAGAGTATGTTCGACAATCATCGCCATCCTTTGGCCGCAAAGAGCAACTACACAAAACATTGTAGTTCGTTAAGAAATGACATTGGTTTCCATGTTCTGCGTTGTTCTAGTTATTCATTGACCAACACTTTTATGTGGAACAATTATATATGCACAGCTAATGTGCACAACTAATGCAAGTATGTTACGCCAATACAGTAATACAATAATGAAAACAAAATACGACTAATAGAGCGTTGTACCACATGTAGCTGCTAAGGACACGGCATTTTTTGCATTGCAAAGCCGATATATGCATCCTTCGTACCGCATAAGCGGGGGATTGTCCCGGAAACTATAGTGGTAAATAATATCCTATCGCTGCTGCATCGTTAGTGACCGCCGGGACACAAATACCATTGATGACACCGCAAAAGTTGTATTCATGTATAACCTCAGCGCAAAAGTCTGCAAATCGTCACTTCCCACTATTTATTTCTGTAATCGCCGCCGTATGTGTGTGTACACGTCATTTCCTGTTTGTGCTCCTGCGGAATACATATTTTCTCAGAAGGCCTGCTGGTACCGTGCATTAGGGTTAAATTAAGGAAAACGGAGAATAATATAATTGTATCGCTACCTAAAAGACAAGTGGGGAAGCGAAAGCACAGCCTACGCTTGCCGACCTACAGAGAACGACGAACAACTGCAGCAAGAAGCGGCTGTAAGTGAAAGGCGGCCGCCGGGATGGTGTGTTTGTGAGCCGTAGACGGGCAGCGGAGACGCCGCGGGGGCAGCAGGACACGCCGCGGGGGCAGCGCTCAGCGGCCTTGGGACACTCAGCACGTCGGGTTACGGCGCATGAGGGTCCAAACCCGAGCACTTTGGCAACTCGCCCGAGGACAGGTAAGGGTGCGCTAGAAAGGAGGGGAAGCAGAAACATGGTATATTTCGGGTGGCCCGCAGCCCCGGAAAGCGCTCTTATCCCTGCCGAGGAAGGAGCGTAGAGCTGCAGATAAACACGACATAAGTAATGAAGTAGACCGCAGTGCAGGTCAGCATTCAATATTATACACATCTCGTCTGTCTTTGACCTTGCTTTTCAAAATTCAAAAATAATGAAATGGTTGGTTTTGTTTATTTGCCGTTGCTGTCCTGGCTTCTCCCTCAGTAACCTTTGGCACGGCGGTAGACACCAGCTGCAGCTCCGCTTCGCCCTGGCGGTGCTGCCCCGCTGGCACTCGTGTTACGATCCCTTAAGCTATGCGGATGCATCACCTTTCTTCGTAGCCTTGCCAGCTTCGGGAGTCACATCCCTCCCTGTTTCTGCTGGCGTAATGTAATCGGCTTTGAAACGTGTCATTGTGATTGTGCGCTCAGGTTGCGTATACTGGCACGTCTGGCTGCACATTCATATTTTTTGTAGCCTAATTGTATATAAAGATAAATAAATGATGTTGTTCTTCTGTAATAATCATTGAGGAGATCAGCATTCGCTCATGATGAGACCAAGGAATGTTCCGGCGTGTTGTATTCGTACATAGGTCGACTTTCCCCGGGGGAGGCCAAGGTGCTTCCCCACCGAACACATCCGGCGCTCTAGCCAGCTGTGGTGTCATATAAAGGATGCAAATGAATATTTCCATGAGAATACAAGGCTGCATTACTAGACCCTGGAAAGATGTTTGCAAGCTCTGGTAATGCTGTAAATTTCTCTGGATAACGTTCAGTGGTTAAGAACAGCGGTTGTGGACGTTGGCCATACCAGGTCTCTCTGGAGCAAGCCCAGAAGAGCTCTTCTCTAGCTAGGTTGCTGAAATGAGTCATGGCTGTATCCCATGATGTTGCGGGGGATGGTTAGGGTTGGAGAAGCAGAACAGAGAATCCCTGCAGCTCTGCCTTTCAGTGGATGTGAAAGGAGGAGCAGCCGTAGTAGTTTCCAGTGTTGCTTGGAAATTTTGTGGGAAAACCCAGGCTGAACAATGTATGACTTATTGAGAGATCAGTTTCTGTTTGTAGCTGGTATGGTGCAGGCTGTGGCCCTATTAGACGGCCTGCGCTGTCTCCCTGCTCACCTGTACCTTAGCAGATGTATGACTCGGGCAGCTTTGCTTTAGAAAGCAGAGTCTGCTAGTCCTGTGTCCCAGGAACAGAAGGGCCCAGTGGTGATACGATTACTCTGCTGGCCATAGACTTCTGTACATGGGCACAGATTCCTAACCTGCTGAGCTCAGTAGATGGAACCTGTGTGGTGGGCAGGACCTTGACTGCCTGCCCCCAATTAATCAGTATTTTACCAGCACTAAGTTGTCCTGAATTGTCACGGTCTGACCCTCTGATGTTGGCAAAGCTTTTGTGGAGGGTTTTCCAGGGCAGAACATTACATCAAGTATTTAATCAGAATTTGCATAAGTAATGGAGAGCTTTCATGGAGACCCTTCATTTACATTTTAGGGGAACATTCCAAGGAAACCTTTTTGGAATCACCATCAACAGTCCACTTTCTGTGACCTCAACAGTGTTTATGAAACTCTATTGCAGTTACTGCCGCCTCATTGCATATACATTTAATTGACAAAATATTCAATATATCAGTGTTATCACTCACATTTGTAGGTTCACATGGTGGAATATCATTATCATGCAAAGGCAAAACATTTGAACTGCATATTTTATCGAAATTGTATTATGACCAGAACTTGGTCTCTTAGGATGTTTTATCTTGTGAAATATCGTAGCTCAACCACACTCTGGGTTTGAAGAAAAGTGTTAAGATCAGTGACTTCAAAATCCACAATGAAACCAAGATGAAACACCTTTTTCTCAGTTTCATTGTCATTGAAGTTGCTGCGATTTCCTTTGTTAGTACAGATACAAACACAATGCTTACAGCAAGCATCTCCGTGTATTATTTTCTTGAGTCTTTGCAGGCTGTTTTGCCCTGTAACAAATTCCACTCTCATTGTTTTAATTGCGGCAATGTAGACACGGAGGAGGCTAGAACGGTGGCTCTGGGTGGCATTGTTTCCTCGCCCCTCCCTTCCACTCTGTATCTGGTGATTGGCTTTTTGCAGCGGCTGTAGC